AGATTTACCAGAATTGTTAAGCAGCGTCTTGTTAAGACAAGTAGCCCCTTAACAAGGTACCAGATTTCCCGAGCGATGTCCCAGCAAGAATAGTCTGAGGAGAGTTACAGTGGCATCCAACCCCCACCTCTAGCCAAGCAGAAAAGACCCACCTTACAGACAGACTTACCTCTGGAGGTTTCAGACAGAAGAATCATTCCAAATTCCATCATTCCCAGGCAGCCACTCACCTGGGAGAGGAAGAGTTTGGAACCCTGAACATTTTATCAGTGGGTGCCTCCCCTAGACGACCCACACTTCCAGGAGCCATGTAGGGTAGAAGCATCAAGACAAAGTGCCTTTCCCGGCCAATGCACCAAAATATTGCATGTTCAAATAAAGGACAGCCACTACAATGCCTTGATAATTCAGAAGAGTAATTCGGTAATAACCAGACTGCAAACCCACAACACATGCATTTTCGGCAAGACAAAATACCATGGTCCAACTCAAGCACCTTAGGGCTCAAAGAAACTTCTTTGCTTTTCAATACTTCAAAGAGGTCTTGTGTAGCAGTCACCTAATGCAATGAGAAAGATTGCATCATAACTTCTCACTATGAAAAAGATGGCTCAACAACCATTTCAGTAATATGTTGACAGAGAGCTGCCAGAAAGTCACAACAGATTGAGAAAAGAACATGGAACAGGGAATATCATTGCTGATGTCAGATGGATCTTGCCTCAAAGCAGAGAATACCAGAAAAACTTATGTTTCATTGACTATGCAAAGTCTTTCGACTGTGTGGACTATAATACAATTTGAATCACTTTGAGAACAATGGGAATTTTGGAACACTTCATTGTGCTTATATGGGACTTATATATGGATATAGAGGCAGATGTGTGAAAAGAACAATGGAATATAGCATGGCTTAACATCAGGAAAGGTATACATCGGGGTTGTATTCTCTCACCATACTTGTTTAAATGCTAAGCAAATCTTCAGAGAAGCTGGATAATATGAAAAAGAGTGAAGCATCAGGGTTGAAAGAAGGCTAAATAGCAACCTGAGATATGCAGATTACACAAATTTGTTTGCTGAATCTTACTGCCCTCTAGTCAATGCTGACTCTTAGAGACCACCTGTGGGTTTCTGAAGCTGTAACTTTTAAAGAGAGTACAAAGCCCCGTCTTTCTACGGATGTGCTGCTGGTAGTATTGAAGTGCAGACCACACAGATCTCAGCACATCATGTAACTACTAAACACTAGGACTCCTAAATGGAGGAGGAATAGAAGCACTTGGTGATGAAAAACCAGGATTGTCGCCTGCAGTATGGATTACCACTCAATGTAAGACAAAATCCTCACCAGCAGACCACTAAATAACATCATGATAATTGGATAAAAGATTGAAATTATGAAGAATTTTGACTTAATGGGATGTACAATCACGGAAGCAGCAGTCAAGAGATCAAAAGATATTTTGTATTAGGTAAATCAGCACAAGAACTCTTGAAATGTATTTAAGAGCATGGATGTTTACTTTGAGCTCTAAGGTGCCCTGCATCGAAGCCATGGTATCTTCCATTGCATCATATGCAAGTGAAGTTGAACTTTGTATAAGAAAGACTATAGGAGAGTGGATTAATTTGAATTGTGGTGCTCGAGAAAATTATTGTAAGTACCATGGACTTCTAACAGGAAAACCGACCTGTACATGAAGAAGTAAACCAGAGTGCTCCTTAGAGGCAAGGATGGCAGGACTTTTTCTTACATACTTTGGATGCATTGTGATGAGAAACCAGTCTCTGGAGAAAGACATCCTGTTCAGTAAAATGGAGGCATGAGCAAAAAGAGAAAGGCCTTCGATGAAATAGATTGACACCGTGGATGCATTAAAGACTTGGGCACAGCAACAATAGTGGAGCTCTAGCACAGCCTTGTTTTTTTCTGTTGTGCATAGGGTCACTATTGTTTAGAGCTGACTCAAAGGCCCCTAACAATAACAACACCTGGAAAGGTTATGGAATAGATCCTCTGTCAGAAGTCTCAACAACAATCAGCATACCCTGACTTTCGATGCCATTATTCACAGGTGTGGGTCAAATGTATATTCTTATAAGTCACCCAATATTGCATTTTGCTATGACATCTCTTATTCTGTAAGCTGAGCTCAAGCCTGTTGACTTTTGGTGACCGTACTAGTATTTTAAATACTTGTAACCTAGCTTTTAGCATCTCCCCAACACAGTAGTCAACCTACAGCCACAAACTAGGACTAGAGCCTGAAGACAGACTGGGTTGCCCACTTCCTTAGAAGAACCTGCTGAAATCCTCACACATGCATATCATAGACCTACTGTCAGA